CTGCCTCACTTTCTCATAAGCTACTCTTTGACACTCAGACATTACATAAAATCAGAAAGTTTTATTTGAAGTATTGATACCCCATTTTTAACATTCTGGAGCTATATTTTGCCATTTCTCTTCCCAACGACCACCCACTACTTTTTGCTGCTGACAGATACTGAGGTATTAGAAGCAACTAGTAATTTCATGAATATATGAGCTCGAGTTGTGTTGTCTCTCATTGCCACAAGTTTGGTTGAACCTGTGTTTCGCGATTTGGATACGCTGGTAAGGATTTCTGAGGTTGCTTCCAACAGGGTCCTATGTTTCGCCTTATTTGTTACGTTGTTACACTTTTTCTATACTGTGCAAAACGCCTCAGGAAATCAGAGAGGGGTGACTTAACATAAGCTCATAGAATACAGAATAGTCGACCTCTGAAGATATGATAGGGTCGCAAAAAACTCTTTCGGCCTCTACCACATAGCTTCAATATTGTTTGTGAGTACTCCGGTTGTTGAGTACACAAAATGCCACATGTGGATAACGACACGATACGTATAACCAAGTCTACGTAGGATTCTGTACGCTCTCTAATCATTCGTATATACTGTAGTACCTGACTGAAACCAGTGTTACTGGTGCTTATCCAGTCCACAATAATTGCCATAATTTACTTTAGTTACAAATTATATATAGAGTTTTCATCACGAACTGACATCAGCTATAATGCCAAAACTCTATTTAAAAAATGGATGAAAGACTTTCGCGCCAAAATACGAGATCTGTTACCTTACACCTTATTGGTTCGTTACAAGTTACAGCCTAGCCGGTTTACTTGTTATAGGCGCCCAGTTGTCACGTTTTGAATAAAACCACCTGTGAACCGAACGTACGTTAGCACTAAGTACTGAAATAGGAGCTGTGACTTTGAAATACCTCAGACGCTTCTCATTTGCTCGTCCATAAATTATAGTCTCGCCTATGACACGTGGGACTTTGAGGTTAACACTTTACACAATTATAACGGCTCGGTTACCATTAAAACAAAGGAGCTCCCCACCATTCTCCGCTAACTTATCAACTGTTTCTTTCTCTTAAAATAAAAAACGTGCTTCGGTATTTACAGTCAGAGGAAAATAAGTTACAGGCATGTGATGAGTAGGATATGCAATACACACATATACGCTCATATAATAACAGTCAAGGCTAATAAGTGAATAATTAACAAGGTCAAATCTGACCTGAAAAGAGTGAATAAATCAGTCTCCGGAAACTAGAATAACCCATGTTGGCTTGACATATGACTATACGCTATAATGTGATGCTGGTTGTTTTTCTTTAGGTAACGTTTTTTTCGATAGTTGTCATGCATTAAGTATTACTACTAGTATAGCTACTAGCAAAAAGTTTCCTTCATTGTTTTTTAAGTCCATATGAACATAAGAAAGTCTCACGAAGTACTATAATTGTGTTATGTTTTCATCAAGACGCAATTAAGAATTTGATTTTGAAAGTCAGAAATTAATTTTACTGTATTATTATAACAGATTAAAGCACATAGTGTAAAACATTTATTTGTACAACAATTTTAGTACTTACCACTGTCGAATAATGGAGGGAAAGCAATCAATATTTAACGATTGACATCACTTAGTTTATTTATTCAACTCCTCTTCTTATAGATATTTTACATTTACACTGTCCTTGGTTCATGCATCTAATATCTATAACTACTCTATAATGACATTGGAAATAAACGCGAATAAATTATTTATATATTAGCAAGATGTCTTAGTCCTCCAACAAATAATTCATTGTTCCTCACTGATTCCTCATATTGTTGTAATTCATGTGACAAATGTTCTCCTAAAATAGTTTATGAACTACACCACTTCAAATAATTTAATCTCGTATGTCTGTCCTTTACATATAACGTTGCTGTCTGTATCAGACTGATCATGCCTGTAAATCGACATGTATTTTGTACTTATCCCAGTATAAAGATTTATTTATTTCATTTATCTAAAATTTCAAGTATTCTGGTCTCAGATTATTTGCTATAGAATAAAGAATCCAATTCAAATCAATAATGCTTACCTCTTTTCTATATAATTTCAAGAGCTACTTAAAGCGAATCAAAATTGTTACTTGAATCCAACATAAAACTTTAGCTCAACAGTATCAATGTATTATGAAAGTACCAACAGTTACAAACACGAAGTATGCATGGTAGCTCGACAATTCCATACCATCACTTTAAAATTCAAGTTTTTACATAATCTGCGGCAAGTTGAGGACTATTGTTTATCTGAAATGCGATTGAATACCTTTTACAGTGCACGTATAGCGAATAAACACTAATCAAGTCGCTGAAAATGACATCGGTTTTATAAAGCATGTCAGTGAGAGCTCGTGCACAATACGTGCTGAGAGATGAAACCCAATGAACTTTGTAAATGCTCCGCCAAGCCATGAACGAAAATGGACACGAAGTTCATTACAACTGGTGGATTTTCGACATACGGGATCTGTGATAATCGTTTTCTGATAATGGCTGAGCCAATAGATCATCTGACGTATAATCAAGTTTATCCTCAAAATAAAGGTCAGGACAACATTTGAATATGAAGTTTACCATTGCACTTTAGACAAATAGAAACCACAGATTTGAGAAATTTCAGTAGAATAATCTTCAGTTTTTAACCAAGAAAACTCAACATAAATGTATTTTTAGGATCTACAGATCGAGTATCAACGGTCGACATCCGTCGACATTTCTGATTTGCGACTAACAACATCCACGAATAAGGAGTTCTTGTCTAATAAGTCTGATGATTTCTTGGGAATTTCAACAAAACAAGTTTAAAGCCAATTTAATAATATATGAAGCAATTCCATCCTGAAAGGAGTATTTTGGTAGTCGCACAATTTCCGTCCTAGAGTAGGTATAACAGTACCAGGGATTAAGTGATGGCTTGTAGCGTGGCGTCGAGTTGAGACTAACTATGAACACCGCTACCAAAAAACACGTGCCAAGTTAATCAGAAGGCGAAGGTTGGACGTAACCAAATAAATCCATAAAATCTCCGAGAAGCCAAATATCAGAAGACAGTTAATGGACCAAATCGAGATATATATTTGCTGGCGATCTCGTGGTATCGAAAGGATACCGAGATCGTGCCAGGATACAAGCTTGGTTACAGAGCGTAACCGAATTCGCGCGAAGTTACAATCAAAGTGTAAGAAAAAGAATGGAAGCAAAATATAGCTGTCATTAGCACAGTCAAACAAAAGCACATTAAAACAAGCACTGGTACAGTTGGTTATAATAATAATTGTTTCTATTAAACCAGTCGTGTTCTCGTGATAAATGTGAGTCACTACAGGCTTAGCACTATAAATATAAGACTTCTGTTGTAAAGGAAAGTGGGCTTATCAGGAATTGCTAAGCATTTTAATGTAATGGATTGAGGCATGTTCTGATTTCAAGTCATTTCCTCCAAACATATACTACACTTCAATCCTTTTTATACATACTTCTGATTTATCGTCGGTTAAGTATTTATCATATTGACTCATACGGCTCTTTAGCTGGACGTTATCTTAAATAACTGTTATTATTAGTAGTAATTATTAAAATAAAATTTTTTAGATATGTCCGAAACATACTTAATGAGTCACTAATACACCAGTGGATGATGACAACATATGTCCATGAACTCATATGAACGGACTACATTCGTACAGACATCAAGGAATCATTTTCAGAACACAACTTAGCTCCAATCTCAGGAAGCAACAAAATTACTTTGTACTTGATTTTGAAGATATGTATTCATTGAAGTCTCAGTCCAGTTAAATTTATGGCTACTCGAACTGTCGTAACACAGTTTATTCGAATAAATTAAGTTACATATCAAAATAATGTAAACGAAGAGATCAAGAAAAAGTGTTGAATAAAACATTAGCTAACGAAAAGGTCTAGCGGTCCTAAGGGTTGTTGTAGTACTTCGAGACAATAAAAATGAATCACTGAAATATTTGTAGCTAGAGGTCGACAATATTCTGGGACTTATAAGTGAAAAGAGAATATGATCCGTAAATGGATGATCGTATTCGCGTAACATAAACATTAGACAATCAATCATTCTTTTATATATATGCTAACTCTGTACCTAACGTCTAGTTTGCATATTTTCCTGTTGATAAAATTTACCGAGATTTAAATGTTTTATTTCCATCATTACACAATAGCAAAGTAGGATTATCCGTTAATGATGTAACGAATGTAATATGTGGAATTCTTGAAGTCTATATTGATTATCTATATTAACAGTTAAACATTAGGTTTCTAATAACAGGATATTCTTTAACATGCTTGCTAACACACTTATTTAGTTTCGATAGCGTTTACTAATCATTTTAAAAAGTTAAACATTTAGCAGTTAGCTCATACTCAGTAAAGATGTTAAAAATATGTACTACTAGAAAAGTAAGAAGTTCTAACTAAATCGAATGATAATACTAAATTGTTTCAACACACTTGATTAAAATTGTTATATAAGGTGTGCAATTTAATGAAAATAAAGTATACCAAGCGCAATAGTGAAAGAATTTATTGTTTTCCTGTTTGTTTGTCTTTTTGTTTTGTGTACACAAAACAACTTGTTCACAATATAAGCATAAATCATATGCTTAGTTATTACAGTCATATTTGTTTTTTTTATATTGTGTCCTTTTAAGGACAATAATAATAATAATGATAATAATAATAATAATAATAAAATTAGCATCAACAACAGAACAATAATGTGATTGGTAATACTACTATGAACAATTAAACACTAATACTTTTATATATTGAGCTAAGAAAGGTACTAAAAAAGTACCCTGTTTATAAGTACCCATCTATCTTCTTTCTATAATAAAGGTATATAAAGCCCTACAATTCACTTAGCAAACTAAAACGTCAACAGAATAAGCAACAATTACAATCTACACTTTATCTCATAATAATGTCACAGGAAAAACAATGGACTGAAGTTTTTCACGCAATAGACAAAGACAAAAATGGGTTTCTTACTCGTGAAGAAATTGCACAGTGCTTAAAAGAAGTTGGTGTTTGTCCGAATGTCGCAGACGTAAGTGGAGAAAGTTCTTATTTTTTGGCAAATGTATCATTACCCCAGCCTATCAGTAAATTTCCATACGAAACTTTGAAAATTGAAGTTAACGTTTGTACGCGACTAGCATTTAAGTAGACATTTGGAAAATAGAATGCTATACTCGATTTTAATGACTCTACAGTAAATATTTCATTTATGTAATAATATATTATATACAGACAAGAACCATGCAATCCTAAATTAATCATTAATTACTTATCTTTACTTGACAATCTAAGTAGGTCCGAAATAAATTCCCATAACTTACTGTTTGTGAATCAGTTTTCGCTCTAACGCAAAGTTTTAGATAATATCTTTCTATTTATTGCATGTAAACTCTGGGTAAATGAAACCCCAATTTCGTCATAGGAAGTGTTGTCTTTTTATCTTAAGAATCATTAGAGTACGTTAATTGCATGATGAACATTTATAATGATTTGTAGAAACGAGCTCACACTCAAAACTTATGGAAGTTAAGCATTACATATTAGAGTCTAGTTAACTTCATGAATATTCAAGACGTTAAATTCCTTTAGTCATTTAATATGTTTTGTATCCTTTTCCTTACGTGACCCGTTGATAGCTGTTTTGGTGAATTTGTGCACAAAGCTTCTAGTAACCTTAGACTGAGTATGGTAAACGAACAGGAGAATGCATGAAATTTCGTTCTTTTGAAATCAGTGTAGGTTAACCATGAAAATTAGAGGCTTTAAATATAAAAATGAATTCAGAATAGACTGGTTGATCTAATCATTACCAATATAATTATTTTCTAATTGTTCGAAATTTACTTGAATGTAAATTGCTCAAAGAAGACTAAAAAGTTTATTCCTTTCAAAGAAGTATATTTTAAACTGGGATATCTAAATAACTGTAATTACTTTAAATGAAATTCCTCTTCTCATCAGGATGTTTTTCAGAAGAACTTCTGGAGGAATAAAAGAATACTTTTCGTTCCACTAAACATTTATTTTCGGAACCCTAATTTAAGGAACTGAGCGAAAGAATGTTAAAAAATAACGTTAAAATCATATTAAAACATTCAGATAATATACGGAATAATATCACGCAACTTTGATGTAATTGGGCGATTTATAGCCCATTTTGTTTCAATGAACAGACAGTTTTGTTTTAATTTTTCGGTATATTCGTGTATTGGCTGCTAAGTTCAGCTATAGTGAACTCTACTTAGTTGAAAGTACCCTGTAAGGATATTTCTAATGTTCATCGTGTCAATCTGCAACTGAAATATTCATCTAATCAAACCACTGGTGCTGGTTTTCACGGCTCAACATATATGTATATATACATAGGCCTCCCATCAGCATACTCCATCCAGCCCTGTCCTGGACAATCCTTTCAACTTGTTTCCAGTTGCTATTCATCCTTTTCATGTCTGCTTCTAATTCTCGATGCAGCATGGTATTTGGCCTCCCTCTTTTCCGTTTCCCTTCAGGATTCCAAGTTAGAGCTTGTCTCGTTATGCACTTTGACGATTTCCGTAATGTATTTCCTATCCACATCCATCATGATTTCCTAATTTCCTCTTCATCTGGAAGCTGATTTGTCCTCTCCCACAGTAGGCTGTTGCTGATGGTATCCGGTCAACGGACATTCAGTATCTTGTGTAGAAAATTGTTTATAAATACTTGTTGGTGATGATTATAGTTGCTGCCAAAGTTTCAGCTCCATACAGTAGGACTAACTTGACGTTCGTATTAAAGATTCTTACTTTAATATTGGTCGACAGTTGTTTGGAGTTCCATATGTCCTTCAACAGTAGGATTGAGGTCCTTCCTACTTTGCCAATCCTTGCCTTTACATCTACGTTGGATCCTCCTTATTCATCAATGATTCTGACCAGGTACGTGAAAGTTTTCACCTGTTTCAGAGTTTCTTCATCAAGTGTGGTTGGGTTGGTGTTCTCCGTGCTGCACTTCAGGATCTTGTTTTTAACCTTGTGTATGCTGCGGCCTACTCGTGCAGAGGCTTCTGACACACTGGTTGTCTTGATCTGCACTTGTTCGTGTGTATGGGATAGAAGAGACATGTCGTCCAGTTTCATTCAGGCTGTCCATTGTATTCCGTGCTTCCCCTCAGATATCGAGGTTATTAATAATCCGGTCAAACACCAAAAGAAACAGAAAGGGAGAGAGTTATATATATATATATATATATATATATATATATATATATATATATATATATATATATATATATATGCTATTTATGTATTATATTAATATTTGTACGTGTCTCTAAAATCTACATTTATGTTGTGTAGAAAATAATCAAGGAAACTGATATGAATAGTGATGGAAAGATTTCTTTAGAGGAATATTTAAACGCGCTAAGAAAACTTCCTCCTCGTGAAAAGTGGTAAGTTTATTTGTATTTGATAAGCAAGTAAATGTTTTTTCCAATATTGTCGAAAGTTGAGCGCTTTCAATTGACAAATGAAATACAAAATAGGAAATCATCTAGTAAGAACCACAATACAGTTAATAAATAATTGCTAATCATATCTATTCAAGGAAGTAATATTTAATTAGTTGACAACGAACACTTTAGAGAATTCACTGGTGAGACTATACGTGAGGACAATTTTAGCCCCAGATAGACTATTCATTGATTTCAGAATCATACTTGTGAGGATATCGAAAGCTAATAAATAAAATAAACTGTTTAAACTGACATTCATACACAACTCTAACAGTTACATGATGTTTGGATGTTCATTTGCATTAAGTTGCGTACAGCATTACCTTTATGTTTCGGTGATCTATAGAGTTGTGATTCGACTGTATGATCATCTGAGTTTCAACTGTTTTCATTATTATTATTCATCACATCTTTCCACATTCAATCGTCTTACTGTCTTTATTTCAAGTGTTGCAAGATGGAATGAAGTATTTCAGTCCATAGACAAGGATGGTTCGGGAAAAGTTTCTATCAAAGAATTGGACGAATTTATAAAATCTTCCGGTATGGATATAGACCAAAAAAGTTTACATAATTGGATGACACAAAATGACAAAAACAAGGATGGTGAACTAGACTATGATGAGTTCTTAGCCTACGTACGTCAAACATATAAGTAATTTTTTGATGACTGGTTTCATAATAGTCAGATGACTTTTTATCTGTCTATTTAAATAACTTCTGAAGTGAACAATTTATGTTGTTTCTTTAGAATTAGAAGGTTTAATCAACATGTTTTTCAAATGGTAATTTCTATAATTAAATAAAAAATTTTCTAAAAATAATTAAGTTGTCTGCTTACTCTTTTATTGATAGATGATGTCCCATGAACAATGTAATTAGTTTGTTTAAGATAAAACAAGAAAACATTACAGATCATCATAAATTGTAAACGATGTAAATAATACACAAAGCGGTGACTGCTAGTGAACAGTCTGGGATCCAGACGTTTTTGACTATCAGGATAATTGTTAATTTGGTTAGTATTCATTAAGATATGTGCGAGCAGTAGACTCTAGAAAATTGTAGTAGACATTATTACATAAGCGAAAGCAAGGAAATTGAATTCTCGACTATACTAATTTCTTGTCAGTTAGATGACTCGGTATCTGTTTTTGACACACAAAAACAACAACTGTGATGTATTTTATTCTTCTTTTATGGAAGACTGTTTTGTGTTCATTGTTTATAAAATTAAATACACAGATTATTGTGATTTATAACGATGAATTTTAATTCAAGCTAAAAAACTTCAATTCTTCGCGAAACATAAAGTAGACCTTGTTGGTTTTTGTTGACAATTTTACTATAAGATTCCCAGTGTCACGATTAGTCAAGTACATTAATTGAAGAGCTGTTTTTGAAGCTCATGAAACATACAAGAAGTTTGATAAATCTTGAGCTTCTTTCCTGAAACAGTGTAATTTGAGTGACTGTTCGATTACGTACAGAGGATAGACGTTACTGTTGGCTTTATGAGTACTCTTTTACTCAGTAATGACCAGTCAGCTAGTAGTCACACAGTTAAGTGTTCTTAGTAAGGAGACTGATGAATAAACTTACTTTACATTTGATAATATTGGATATAATTTTATTGAAATATGACCACTTATTGATATAATTCAACTTGAAGGTTTGTGATTATCTATCCAACAAAAATTATTAATTTAACAGTTAAACTCACTAGTCAATCTAAGCTAGACAACTGTTGAAAACCTGGAAACACTGAACGGCCACTTAGTCTAAGTATGGGACTCCTTAACAGTGCGTATCCACGATCGATTGAAGTTAGAAATTAACACCGTTGAATTCCGGATCAGTGGTCTAGAGACAAAGCGTTCGCACGCTAGACCGAAGGTCTTGGGTTCGACTACCGTGTGCGGACTCGTGGACGACCACTGTTGAGGAGTCCCATACTAGGTCGAAACAGCTGTGTAATGATTCCAGATTTTTAATAGTGGTCTAGATTACATTGACTTATGAATTCAACTATTAAAATACAACGATTTCCACGAACCTCCATACTGGCAATTATTATCATTGTTACATCTTAAAGAGGGATATTGTAGTAATCCAATTACGATCATTTGAATAAACCACCACGTCAAATTTCAACAAAAAACCACGGGTTAGCTTCAGTTGGTGGAAACACAGAGGAATTAAATAGTTAAAGAATTGGTGATATTTTGTAAAAACATGAATTCGTAAAATCGAATGTAACTTATAGTCAGGCGATAAATAGTGAATGAATATCTTTGATACTTTCACTAACAAAGGCCTGGATGAAAATAGCTGTTTAAATATAACCCTAAACTTTTAAATACATAAGTTGAAAAGCTGAAAAATTTAGAAACAGATATTGTGATAACGAGGATCAATGGGAAACTCTTTTGAACTGTATGAATAAGAATCTATATTTACAACAATTGGGAAATCCGACTGAAAATCTTTTAAAAGGGGAAATCTCGCTTATTTTATAAAACTATAAATTTATTCAGTATATTTAGATGCACCATGATCACGAATAAGTCTTTTTTTATTGTTGTAATGTATTTTACTTATCCCTGATGCTGAACTCCAGTTATTGCAATTCTTTCTTGGGATAAAACATTTAATCTGCTTCAGAATGTTACCAAGCAGGACGCATATTTATCAAAGACAAACTGACTAAAGGGAAACTAAGATTCTGATTTGAATGACTTTCATCAAGCTTATTTATTGAAATACGCGGGTGTTATTTATGCTAGGACATTCCTCTTTGTACGCTTCTTTTTGCCCAATAGTTTATGGGGATTTATTTGCATATCATTTATTAAAATCAATCAACCAATCGTAGAGTTTTCAGTCATGGAGGTCAACTATTGTGTAATCAGCTTGATGATTGGTTGCTTAGAGAATTACTTTTATGTATGCGATTTACACTTAAAGAAATAATGTCCACTCCATAAGCTTTAACAGACTACTAGCTTTTCTGGAAAGAAACATAAACAGTGACTCGATGTGATGTGAGGCTAAACAAGGATTATTTTTGTATCGGTTGTTTGACGTAGCAATTTGTTTGGTTTTTTTCCTGGTAAAAAAATAAAAAAAGATGAATTAAAGGTTTTATTGGAAACTTTTCTTTTCTTAAGAATACTTCTTAACAGAATATGAACTGGTCGTTAGGCGTGAATGTTAATCTTTGAGTATAATATCTAGTATATCCATATTTCGGCACCATGACGAGACTATTAAGAAACGAATATCCACGTATCATTAGCTAAATGTTATTCAACACTCTGACAAAGTAAACGACCGTAAACCTCTTCTTCGTGTTTTGTTTCTGCTCTGCTTTCTTTCAAACAGGGAACCTCTTACCATACTATTGTTTACAGATTGCTATGAAAATGATAGCTGATATTCCAAATGAATTATCTTCTAGAAATCTCATTCCCGTGGTTTCTGCATTCATCTTATTTTCAATTTAGCAAACGTCTGTGAATAAGTAAAATTCCTCCTTGAATTCTCTCGGAATTTTCCATTGTTTACTAGCTAATTATTGACTTTTACGGTACTTTCGGTCTTATTATTTTTCTTTGAAAACATGCAGAGTACTATTGACCCACAGGAAAGTACAACCAGAAGTTTTCCCACAAAGTCGAAAGAAGATGGGTTTCGACCTTACTTGTAATTAAAAATTGGAAAAAGTGAGGTAAGATATTTCACACTTACAATGTTTTACTCCAAACTGGGAGAAACAAACATGGCTTCATTCTATATGTAAAATATATCGGATCATGTTAACACACTGAAGTACTATATCTAGAGCTCACTATTTCGAATCAATAATCCTAACTTAGGAGTAAGCCGATATACAACCAATTGAAGGGTAATGAATAAGGCGAAATATGCGTTCGAGATTCCACCATATGCCACCATCCACCTTTGCTTATGTACGCTTGTGATATAATGGCAGTATCGAGATAAACCGAACCGAATGCAAATGTTAATTGCAGTCTTAAACATCAATGGAAAATTCCAAATAAACAGTAAAAATTAATTAAAGCAGTATCCTGTTACAAAGCATCAAACACTAAAATAACTAAAATTTGGGGTTAAGTTCTAAAAAATCACCGACTAAAAAGATATGTCTAAGTAACATAAGACATTCGTATTTTGCCTATTTATTGGAGTTATATATTCAATAAATGGTACAGTTTTTCGTATGAAACATTAGAAAATTAATAAAAAAAATCCTCGCTAAGCATTGAAGAAATACTGTATAGTTTCACAGTCTGTAATAGGCTCACTTGATCGACCAGAGATACTATTACATGAGATTTTGGTCTGGTAGAAAATACCAGTAGTAAAAGATGCTTTAACACAAACGCGGTAGGATGAGACCATTTTCAACATAGAATTAGTTAAATATGAATGATGTTTGAGGTGTATGTCTTTCCCCACTGATAAATCACATCTTAGATTGTTTGGATACATTACAATCCATAGTATTGACCCACTGATTGACAATAACAGACTACGATAGTATCATTATAAGACTGCTTGTAGTGGCTGGTCCTATGTCGAGCACACATAACTTACTCTGGTTCCGGACAAGCCAGTTCACTCATTCTCCTTCAATCATATTTTGACTTTGTTAATTATTCGTCTATCAATCTTGACTGTTGTGGTTTATGAGCGTATGTGTGTGAGTTTCTTATCTTACTTATCACATGTCTGTAGCTTATTTTATCTGACTACAAATATTGATTAACGCTCGGTTAAATCGAGTTGCACGTCATTTCGCTCCACTTTTTTCTCTTCGTTCTGTTCCTTTGATTGTCTGTCCATATCAATGAGTGTACAAAATATATGTATTCAAAAATCTATTCCCGTTTTTGACTTATTTAATTCCGTTATTCGATGATTGTACACAAGGTTTGACGATATGTATATTTCAATAACTCCGTAACAATCATCATGCGATTCAAGTGGAATCAGATCTTGGGCCACTAAATGCTACTCATCACATAAGTAATTTCTTGACTCATTGCTCATTGGCTACATCACATAGCGTATCAAATGCTATCAGTCGTCTCCACTTTTACTTATTTTTATGATGGATAGACTTCAAGTAACTTTCTCAACACTAAATTTGAAAAATTATACTTAAAATGATCTCAGTAATTAGAATTCAAATAACTTCAATGTTGCATTAGAATCTGGTCGGGCTGCTTCAGGAAAATAATCAGTGTAAGTTATCAAAGATAAATAGGGTTTATAAGAAGTACTGAGTGCTTGTTTAATCATGTTCAGATTTTCATTTGAGCATAGCACGAATATGAATAATTTGTTCTACGATGTTGTCACAATGTGGCATGTGTATCTGTCCTATTGACATAAAAAACTTAATGAATAAATAAAGCTTGTGGCTATGGTCCGTGACATATTGTGCGTTTCTCTATAAAACGAAGATAGATTCGGATAAATTAAGCTTATCGATGTAAACACCGATAGAGGATAAACGGATGATGTGTTGTGATGTTAATTAAAAGTATCTGGAGGTAAATACAAAGAAAGTAATTGATTAAATAACTAAACATCTGTTGTTGCTGTTATCGGAATAATGTTTCGAAAGGTA